CATCATATCGTCACAAACTCGCTCAACGCTCCATTCAACATATATTTATTGGTTACCCCGACAACATCAAAGCCTATAATTGTTTCAATTCTGTCATCGAAAAAACCTTAATATCCCACCATGTCATCTTTAATGAACAATTCTGTCTCTACATACAACAAACAGACCCATACAAAGACCTAATCAAATTGTGCCAGACAATATTTTTGATATTGTTTTTGAGCTAGAAAATATTATGGCAAGCAATTGTATTTTTGACATTTTTTTCGAGGAAAAAAATGTTATGGTGAAATAATTGTATTTTTGATATTTTGTTCCCAAGAAAATGTTATAGTTAAACAACTGTATCTTCTACATTTTGTAATGAAAAGACTCATGTTGCATTGCTTTAGTCGCTGGTTATTGAATTCCTTAAGCATGGTTTTTGAATGCCTTTTTCATTAAGCATGATTGCTATTGATTTCATTATTTATGAGTGCTTCACGTCTGCACCTTTCTTTTGCAGAGCTACATTGTCTCTTCATTCATATTTTAATGGCGAAGTTTCTGCTTTATTACCCTTCCTATGCCCTTCCTTCCATTGTAAAAAAACTTCTAACATCTTCACTAATGTTTGCACTTCTATTTGCTGTAATTCTTCTTGTCTTGAAGCTTGTAAAATTCCTTATTCTGTATGATCTATGATGTTATCGTAAAATATTTAGATTACAAGCATTTACTGGTTAGCTGTCTGAACTCATAATTTCAGATTTAAAACCTGCATGTTTATGCACCAAATAAATACAGATGATTAGACAAATAAGTAAAGGTTTAAATGCAACATACTTATAACCATAACGCATATTTCAGAAAGGAGTGGACAAAATTAAATTTGACAAAAAAAAACTCAGACAGAAAATGGGAAATCAAGATCTCCACTGAATAAATGTTATGAGGAAAAGAGAAATAAATGCATCAACTTTATGCGAGCACATTTTTAGGTAGAGCAAGGGAGAGAATAGGTAATAAATGCATCAACTTTATTCCATATAGGATATGAGGGATATTGAGGATATTCAATCTGTTTATGCTTTCCAGCAATATTTGGTATTTGATGATCCGCTCTCTTTAGCGCATGATAATTACCATATGATGTTGAGGCATTTTTCTATTTACTTGTTAATAAAATTTTCTTTTACATGGTTTTGCATTCATGTCTTTACTAATAGTCTGTTTGGGGCAGCTGCAGCTTATCCAGCTTCTGCTGATAAATAGTTTATCTTGATAGTCTGCTGATGAGCAGCTGATCCAGATAAGTTGTGTGACTTTTTGGTTTGTGCGTCTGGAAAATAGCTGATTCTGGAGAAATGACCATTCCACTCCTGTTTTAGATAAGTTGTTTAACTGTTTGGTTTGTGTGTTTTGTAAACAATTTTATTATAGCTGTTTTTGAAAAAATGATCATTTCGACCACACGAAATCGAGCTGTTTGCAATAGCAATATAATGAGAAAATATTTAATATAATAAAATAAAATAAAAAAAACACTATATTGTAGATCGGTGGCCGTTTTTTTTTTTTTTTGCTTTGCTTTTGCAGTATTGTTTTTTTTTAATTGATTTATCGTTTGCCTGCAGGAATTATAGGAGAAGAGGAAGCATCGTGCCAATATTGCCTACGAGAGGAAGAAACAATTGGCAAAGCTACGCTCCAAGTGTGAGAAGACTGCAGATGAGAAACTTGGTTTTGAAATTCAAATCCTTGGGCCACTCAAGTACTGAAATGTGTTATTAACACCTAAACTTTTACTACTTACATTTATATCACCAAAAGATATCATACCACATTAAAAATATCACATTTATAACTACACTATAAATGACCATCAAGCCTCTCAAACCTGCATAATCGTAAATGAAGCAAATTACAACAACATTTGATAAAGCATATTTTATAAATCCACATAACAGCCATATAAGTCTTATGTATTAACCTATCTAACACCTAAAATTTGATTTTTACATCTATACCACTCATATCTTTTCATGCATAAGGAGTATATAAGTAAATATTAAATTTTAAGTATTGGAAATGTAAACATACAAGAATTGTGTGTTATGTATGTAAAACTTTTAAAAATAGATAGGTATTTACATACATACCACCCAATTCCTATCTTTTTACATATCTAACATCAAAATTCCACATTTGAATTACTATTATACACGTATAATATGTCCATATATGATATACAAGTCATGAATGATCTAGTTTGCAAAACCATGCTTTGCATTGTGCTTTGCAAATTGAAACAGTAAGGATTCTTCATGCATTTCATCGTGATTAGCAATTTAAAAGCACTTTTATCAATCGATTTATTGCAAAGAGTGAGTTATAGTAATTGAGAGTATAGACATATAATTTCTCGTTAGCAAAATATAGTAAAAAAAGAATGCAACAAAATCTTGCAAATAAATTACAAGAGGTGATTTTAATAGTATGAGCAGCACAAAGCAAGGACAACAAGACATATAGAAAACATAGCAAGCAGATGTCTGCCATTGTTTGGATGCATTGCTGCTGCCTTCAACAAGACTTTATAACAAACACAACATGCATATAAGAAGCACACACTTCCACCTTATAGCAGACACTTCAAATTCTATTATAGTAATTGATTTAAAATGAGAACTAGTCCTAAAAAAATTGCTTATTTAACTTAGCAGAATTTGCATACCCTGAAAAAATAAGAAGAGATCTTCGTAAAATGCAGGATAGAAATTGAACCAGCTTCAAATTCAATTAGTTCTAACTTAAGGGTAAATTCACAGAACATTCAACAATTGTACAAAAAAAGGAAACAAAAACTGACTTTGAACTTCGCCAAAATCCAATATAAATTGTTTTCCTTGTTTATAATTTCTTTTCTTCCGAAGATATGTATATTCATACTCGAAAATAAAGTTTAAGAACCCACGAAAAACAATGTCATGATCGAGTAATTTTTGTCCGTTATCTGGTGTCGCAACGCGGTCATTTCCCTTGCACCTTCACCTTCGCGACTGTAAGCATGTTTTGAGTCTTCATGTGGTATGAGATGACCGACATGAAATTCAAATACTTCTTGTGGAATATGATGCATGTCTTCTTCTACAGATGCAAAGTCCAAGTCAGAGCGTGAGGGGTAGCGTCGGATGTAGTTGTGCCATGGTTGCTAAAACTGTTTGTACTTGTTTCGGAAATGTGTAGGTTGGCATGTCACGTAATGTCACCCACTTCTTCTTCCATACCCCGAATGACCTCTCCATGACACCGCATAAAGAGGAGTGTCATTTGTTGAACATTTCCTTTCTACCACGTGCACCCGCTTGACCTCTCGAAGTCGGGAATGTGGTATTTCGTGTTGTCATAAGGCTTTAGATGACCCCTTTGTAAGGGAAATCCGATGTCAACCAGATAATATTTACCTGTATGGAATACATGATTTAGAAATGACTCATAAATGTCTAATATAATTGCTATAATTACGTACCAGAAGGAGGGTACGGGAAGTAATGAATTCAGTATTTTGTTGCAAACTTGAAAACATGACTATGGTGTGCGCTATATTCTCATCCGACCATCACAAATGTGAAACACATGTTGATATCACAAGCGACCATCACATTCTGTGTGAGAGAACCACAACGTCCAATGTTGGCCACCTTGTCGGTGTCAGATACACGTGCATCAACGTGAGTTCCATTAATAGCTCATATGCAGTCCTAAATGTAATAATGTTTAATCTTTTAATGATTGAGAGGTAAATAATTATAATATAGTAATGACAAGTTTAATATATACCTTGAAGAACGACATGTAGCGAGAGTCATTCACAATTTGTGTCGGGATAGACTGGAATGTGGGATCCTCAGACATAATTATCTTAGAGGCTAAACTTACTAGAGCATTCAAACCAATGGAGAAATACCTGCTGATAGTCTCTGATGAATGTTGAAATCGTTCCATGGCTCCTCTAATAGACTCATTCTGAGATAATATATTGAGTGTTATTGGTAGCACCTCTCTTGATGTCTTCTGGTCGAGCCATTCAAACCATGTTGGTATTGTAGTTCGTAGAGCAGATCAATGAATATCTCTTTCGTGATACAGAACATGTTTGCGAAACTTGTCGAATGCCCTTGTAGTAACTCACCGACTCATATCTCGATGTCATACATGGAGTTCGATCGATGTATGTGAGGTAGTAGTCATATAACAAAGTAAGAATAAGCACAATCTTTCTAACATACTTTCTAACATAGTGCAACATCCTATAAAAATTTGTTCAAAGAGAATAGTTATAACCTTCAACCATATAAAGACATCCATAAAACACCATATAAATCAACCATATAAAGACATCCATAAAACATATAACCACAAAAGATATGATAACTACAATGTTAATTATAAGGAGTGCATAGAAGAAAAAAAATAACAATCTCCGTTACAACAGTACAAACAGTTTTGAGAAAACAAAATGAGAATATAGGGTGGAACGTAAGAAGGAACATTTCAAAACAAAACAGAACAAACAGTTTCAAAACGAAACAATTTTCCAAGAAGTAACGTAAGAAATCAAAATAGTTTTCAAAACAGTAAAGTTTTCCAAAACAATACAAACGGTTTCAAAACAATTAGTTTTCCAAGAAGGAAAGTAAGAAATTGACTTGGTATTATGCTTCTAACTTCACAAAAAATTCTCTACGGACTGGATCTTGTAATAACTTAACATAATTGAGATATAATTTCCTGTCTGCCTTAACCTCAGCATGTTTATTTAGAATTCCAAGGCACCCCTCAACAAATATATCCTATGATGCAGCAAGCTTAACCGTACAGGATTCTGTAAGTTTTTCAATTATACTTCTGATGAATGCGGCTCCTTTCTTCCTTTTCTCCACCCTACACTGTTTTGGAATACATGAGGATTCCACTGACCTATGGATTTTGCAGGGCACTTCTCTTGAGCCACTTACATTATCAGTTCCAAGAACAGCAGTTGTGTCAATGAAGTAAGGTTCAGATGGGGTGAAAGCATGTGCTCCCGTTGCAACAAGCCCACTAAACATACCATCAAGCTTCTCTTCCATTGTTGGATCAATTCCATTCATTTTGAATTTCCTACTTGCTGGCACCACCTGCATGACATAGAAAATTGAATTAGTTAAATCAGTTCAATATATCCAAAATTGAAATAAGGAAATGATATAAGTTAAGTATTTACCTCTAGTTTTTAAACCCACGAATCCTTAGGAGCATCTATAGTTCGCTGCACTGGATCTCAACCCAAACATGTAGTTCCCCTCTTAAGTTCTTTCCAAAATTTTCAATCCTTTTTTAATTGATCCCATTTGTTCTTAAATTTCATCTTATCATAGTCTCTTCTTGTCAGTTCCTTGAATTTGACAATAAGATTCTGCCAACCTTCTTTGTTAAAAAATATCGTAGGTCTATTTCCTAACTCCACCTTCTTAAGACAGAGATCACATAAAATATTTGTTGCTTCCCTGTCCCACATGGCAGATGATCCAACTTCTTTGTTCTTATTCATTGCAGTACTTACTAGTGAAAGGTTAAATTAAAAAAGAATGCATTTAACAGCGTGAGCATAAAAAATTTAATAATGCTACAACAATTTCACATAAAAAATCCAATAACTTGAGCATAAAAATCCACAAATCCAATAAAGCCTTAAACATTGAAGAAGTCCTTAATATTAGAAAAAAACATTTGGGAAAGAATTTGTGATATGAAATATTTCACATTGAGTTAATATTATCACTATAAAAAAATATGTTAAGTTTCCTAACTATCTCTGTTGGGGTGTCATTGAAGTGTTAGATATGTAAAGAAAAATGAAAACTTTCTGAACTATAAGAATTTAGCATATGAATATAAATGGTTAAATAAATTGGTATATACATAGAAACACATAAAAAATAAATTTTGAAAATTCTGCACATATGTATTTAAATTTCGGTGTTATGCATGTAACTGCTTAAGGATGACAAAGGAAATAAAGCTCATCAACCTTACAAAGCGCATAAACACAAGGTTTCGAACCAAATCAATGACTCCCAAAGTTCCAAGTGTTGTAAAGCACATGACATGAAAATCTCAAATAAGCAAACAATAAATTTTCAAACTGAAATCATATAGACCAACTATTATTAGAAAATATGAAACACATTTCTCATCAAAAGCATGCCCCAATACTGCAAAACAAGCTAAATATCGTACCACATAAATAAATACCGTAAGTCAACTTCCGCAAAGTCAAGTATATCCTTTCAAACATATATGCCATTTAAAACATGTGAGCTAAAATATATAACTGAATCCCGAGATGGCTGAAGGCAGACACCCAAAGTAACCACACATGATTTGAAGAAGAGGTAGAGGTTTATACATGGATGCTGAAGGAAGCAGAAAGCAACAATGTCGCAATCGGGGTGGCGAACAGAGGCTATTTCGCGATCGACATGGCGAACAGAAGTAGGAATAAAGATCGGGATGGCAAACAAAACTTTGGGATCATGATCTAGGGCAAAGCGGGGGAGGAGAAGATCAGAAAATGAATAAATGTGTGAAGGAGAGAGAAGAAGATAGAGATTTTTTGCCACTCTCGAGCGAGTGGGAAGTGGGGAGGGAGGAGCGGAATCGTTGCGCTTAGGAAACAAAGGTCGCGCAGAGAAAGGCAAGTGGGTAAAAGATTAGCCATGCGGGCGTTTGGAACGCTGATCACGGGGTTATACCCGCGATCGCGTATCCACTAAATTAGAGACGAAGTTTTCTGATAATCATCGCAAACGTGCAAAACAAACATGACTCTCTAGTGGCTACATGACTTAGTTTCAATAGTTCCTTATTCAGCTTTTCCTTGATAAAAACATATCAATCTCCACATATTTGGTTTTATCATGTTGCACCAGGTTGTTCGTAATGTTGATTGTTGAGTTATTGTCGCACCACAGCCTCATGTGAGCTCATTGGTCCACCTTTAGCTCTACCAACAAGACTCTTAACCACATCATCTCGACAACTCCTACGACCATGGCTATATACTTTGCCTCTGCTATTGATCTCGCTACTATAGATTGTTTCTTACTCTTCCAAGCGACTAATTTGCCCCTTATGAATATGTAAAATCCATATGTAGACTTCTTATAATCAGTACAACTCGCCCAGTCATAGTCACAAAAGCCCTCAATATCTACATGCCCATTCTTCGTGAATATCAATCATTTCTCTGGTGTACTCTTCAGACACCTTAGAATGAAATACAATGCATCTATATGGCCCTTCCTTGGATCATGAATGTAGCAGCTCTCCAAACTTACTGTAAGAGAAATATCAATTCGAGTGTGGCACATATAGATCAGACGTTCCTTCAGCCTCTGGTTTATCTCACAATTAACTAATTCACCTGTCTCTGTACTGCGCTGGCCTTCTCATCAGCTAGAGAGAATGCAGGTTTGCACCCTCGCATAACAATGTTCATGAGAAGTTACAGTACATACTTTCTCTATGACAAGACCATTCCTCCACTCCATAGGCCACTTCAATCCCAAGAATCTATTTGATTTGTCTTAGATCTATTACCTCATATTGCATCCCCAATCTTCCCTTTAGTTGAGCAATCTCTACCTCATCACCATCAGTGATACTTATGTCATCCACATACACAAAAAGTATGGTTATGTGACCTTCATGTTGTCGAAAGAACACCGTGTGGTCTGCATTGTCCTAGTGATTTCCCATGCTAATCATTATCATTCTAAACTCGTCAAACCTGGCTCGAGGAGACCACTTCTAGCAATATAGCGGCTTCACGAGCCTGCACACCTTGCCTACTGTCTGGGATGTATTGAGTCCTGGTGGTATCTCCATATATAGCTCCTCCAATAGGTCCCCATGAAGAAAATCATTCCTCTCATCTAGTTGGTGGAGTCTAGCCACTATTCTCAACTTGCTCATTTTTTGATTGTTGCAAAGATTTCATCATAGTCAATGTCATACATCTAACTGTACCCTTTTGCCACTAATCTTGCTTTGTTCTTCTCCACCTCCCCTTCTGAAGTTTTCTTTACTATGAAGATCCACTTTCATTCAGTTGTCTTCCCTGTTAGTTGTGGTACAATCTCCCACCTTCAATTTTTATCAAGTGCTCTAAGCTCATCGTGCATCACTACTTTCCACTGGGGATCCTTTTTAGCCACATTACAACACTTAAGTATAGGGATAGCATCCAATGATGCAATGAAAGCTCCATGCAAATGTGAAATGTTAGAATAAGAAATAAAGTTCATAATGTCAAGTTCTCACCCAAAAATGATCAGGAGGATGTCTTGCATTGCTGTGAAAGGTCTTCCTTAACGTTGGACGGGGGGGATTTTCAAACTGAAATCATATAGACCAACTATTATTAGAAAATATGAAACACATTTCTCATCAAAAGCATGCCCCAATACTGCAAAACAAGCTAAATATCGTACCACATAAATAAATACCGTAAGTCAACTTCCGCAAAGTCAAGTATATCCTTTCAAACATATATGCCATTTAAAACATGTGAGCTAAAATATATAACTGAATCCCGAGATGGCTGAAGGCAGACACCCAAAGTAACCACACATGATTTGAAGAAGAGGTAGAGGTTTATACATGGATGCTGAAGGAAGCAGAAAGCAACAATGTCGCAATCGGGGTGGCGAACAGAGGCTATTTCGCGATCGACATGGCGAACAGAAGTAGGAATAAAGATCGGGATGGCAAACAAAACTTTGGGATCATGATCTAGGGCAAAGCGGGGGAGGAGAAGATCAGAAAATGAATAAATGTGTGAAGGAGAGAGAAGAAGATAGAGATTTTTTGCCACTCTCGAGCGAGTGGGAAGTGCAGAGGGAGGAGCGAAATCGTTGGGATTAGGGAACAAAGGTCGCACGGAGAGGGGCAGGTGGGTAAAAGATTAACCACGCTGGCGTTTGGAACGCTGATCACGGGGTTATACCCCCGATTGCGTATCCACTAAATTATACCGCAAACTTGCAAAACAAACATGACTCTCTAGTGACTACATGGCTTAGTTTCAATAGTTCTTTATTCAGCTTTTCCTTGATGAAAACATATCAATCTCCACATATTTGGTTTTATCATGTTGCACTAGGTTGTTCGTAATGTTGATTGTTGAATTATTGTCGCCCCACAACTTCATGTGAGCTCCTTGGTCCACCTTTAGCTCTACCAACAAGACTCTCAACCACATCGTCTCGACAACTCCTACGACCATGGCTATATACTTTGCCTCTGCTATTGATCTCGCTACTATCGATTGTTTCTTACTCTTCCAAGAGACCAAGTTTTTCCCTATGAATATGTAGAATCCATATGTAGACCTCTTATCATCAGTACAACTCGCCCAGTCAAAGTCACAAAAGCCCTCAATATCTACATGCCCATTCTTCGTGAATATCAATCATTTCTCTGGTGTACTCTTCAGACACCTTAGAATGAAATACAATGCATCTATATGGCCCTTCCTTGGATCATGAATGTAGCAGCTCTCCAAACTTACTGTAAGAGAAATATCAATTCGAGTGTGGCACATATAGATCAGACGTTCCTTCAGCCTCTGGTTTATCTCACAATTAACTAATTCACCTGTCTCTGTACTGCGCTGGCCTTCTCATCAGCTAGAGAGAATGCAGGTTTGCACCCTCGCATAACAATGTTCATGAGAAGTTACAGTACATACTTTCTCTATGACAAGACCATTCCTCCACTCCATAGGCCACTTCAATCCCAAGAATCTATTTGATTTGTCTTAGATCTATTACCTCATATTGCATCCCCAATCTTCCCTTTAGTTGAGCAATCTCTACCTCATCACCATCAGTGATACTTATGTCATCCACATACACAAAAAGTATGGTTATGTGACCTTCATGTTGTCGAAAGAACACCGTGTGGTCTGCATTGTCCTAGTGATTTCCCATGCTAATCATTATCATTCTAAACTCGTCAAACCAGGCTCGAGGAGACTACTTCAAGCAATATAGCGGCTTCCTGAGCCTGTACACCTTGCCCACTGTCTGGGATGTACTGAGTCCTGGTGGTATCTCCATATATACCTCCTCCA